AAATTCCAGCTGAGACAAGAAGGACTAAATTACTAAACCTAGTCTGTAGGAAGCTGCAGTAGTCGAGGCAGGAAGGAGGAACAAATCAGACGACTTTCTCCTGATGATTTATTCAGAAGAAAGATTTGATTTTAAACAGTGTCCAGTTTGGAGGAAACTGGGGATCAACTGTCAGGATAAGCAACATTTGGACCAAATCTAGTGTTTTTCTCTCCCGTCTAAACATCATCAGTAAATATTAACTTGAAGCAAACGGCTCCAAATACGTTTCTCAGCAATTTTCAGACGGCTGCTCCTGTCCTTACCTTCAGCAACATGAGGTCGTTGACCTTGTCTGTGTCATCATAGCAGGGATGAGGAACGTGTTTCTTCACCGTCCGGACCTGCCTGGAGTCTTTCTCCTTCTCTTTAATGGAGTGCACGCCCAGCAGCACTTTCTTGATCTTGCCACGGCTAAATCACAGGTTGGTGTTAGATTCCAGTCCACTGATGTTAAAGGTTAACAGCTCAGGATGACTTTAAGGCAGCATATGATGTAAATAACGATGAGGATGTGACATAGCGTTGGCTGATTAGCTCTGAATGGAGGCTTCACCCTCTGACACAGCTGATGTGTGGTGAGCTGATGTGAAACTATAACGTTATCTTCACTCTCCCAGCAGTAAAGTCTGCTTTATTTGATCTGTGCTCGTATCCTCTGCCAGTAGTTTCTGTCTCTTTAGATTCTATTGTGCAAATAGAAACCGAAAAGCAGAAAAGTTTCAGGGCTCTAGAGCACATCTCAGCTCCAGCCTTGTGGCTTTTGTGGTTTCTTGAAGTGAGTGACATTTACGCCCGTTTCTTCTTCCTTTACAAAGATCTGAACTTTTACATTTTGCTAACCTGAATCTTAAACTAGTTTTTCCTTTTTTAAAAATCTCCACAGTGGATCTTCATCCCACAGGGACCGTGACCACAATTCAATTAAATGCATTTAAATGTCAGTGAGCAGAGCGGTCCACTCTACATCTTAGGTGCCTCTGATCCTCATTAATGTACTGAGAACCTAAAGCATCATGTTTATGTTCCTACCTGTTGCAGTGAGCAGCAGTCAGGACCCATTTAGGATCGATCAGAATCCCTCCACATAGTGGTGTGTTGGTCTCCAGCAGAGCCATAAAAGGCAGCGAGTGTGGCGTCACTTCTTTGCCTCCAATTATCTCAGAAGCATGACCTAAGCAAAAAAAAACATTGACACCAGTTATTCAGCAAAAAGAGAAGATAAAGGAGTCGATAACTGGTCAATCAAATGAGGCAGAAAACTCAAAAAAAATAAAAATCTCTAACATGACTCTGCACATTGTTTGCATGAGTGTGCAGAATATTTCTCAGTAGATTAGGAAGTACGACTCACTTGACTGAACGCTGAGGAGAAGCACACATGAGATAAAAACACTGAGATCCTTCAGGCACAACATTTCTTCTTCTCTCTCTCCTTGATCTGAAATCCACTTTGATGCTCGTCTTTTATGCGTTTAGCTCAAAAGGATGTGGTCTGAGCGTGGAAATGCGTGAGTCAGCAGAATGGACGTAAATGAGAGGCGGCGAAGTGAACCTTCAGAAACCTGTGGTGAGGAACAGCTCGAGACCCTCGCAGCCACGCTGGTGAGAACATCTGATAACGTCAAGCACTGATTCAGAGGAAACGGTGACAGAATGAAATGCAGCAGCTTCTGTGAAACCAGGTGGGGATGGAGGACCAACCCAAAGCCAAGGACGGGTCAAGTGATGACAAGAGTGCAGGATAGAGTTTATCATCATCATCTGAAATCTGTAGTTTCATGTCAAACGTTTAAAGAGAAGATCGAAGTGTTGTTTGGCAGATTTTTCAATATTTAAACGCAACTACACTGTAAAAAATAAAAAAATCCATCCATCATCTCTACACCTTAATCCTCACTAGGGTCATGAGGGGCGGAGTCTATCCCAGCTGACTCAGGGTGAAGGCNGTTTCCAACATGAACCAGCTCTGATCACTTCACCAACAAAGACACGTACACTAAAAGAAAAAAGTCTTCAATTTTGTAGAATTTTTGCTTTTATTTTGTCCTTTTTTCCATATTTTTGAAATCTTTATTTTTGAAACACACAACAACATAAATAAAGTTACAGGAATGCACATGTTAAAGCAAAACTACATCAAACACCCAGAACTATGGATGAACAAACTTTCTGAGAAAAAAAAAAAAAAACATGGAAAATTGCGGTTATTCATCCAGAAATCCTGCATGATGGATGTTCTAGGAGTGAATTAAAGTCACCTGCAACTCTACAACTCACAACACCCTTTATTGAAGTTCTCTGGGGCTCTGGAGTCATTTTTCATTATTACTACCAACAAATGCAGCTTACATTAACCTGGTTACCATCAATACATGAATCCACACTTTTTGCTTTTATACTTTTGGTTTTGTGAGCGGTAGAAAAAAACACATGGTGACATTTACAGGTTTCTGATCTACAATATCTACAAAATGCCTTCAGTGATAGAAATGACTGTTGCATAAAAAAGCTTTATGATGAACCAGAAAACATCTGGGCTCTTTATATGTCAGATGACCTCATCGTCGTTTTGATCCACTTGAGTTGTTTTTCTGTGAGAAAGGAGTAAACTCCAGGCTTGTTTTTTACACCACACCTCTTTCCAAAAGAAGTGACTCCAGTCAGCGCTCCACTGCACAGCAGCGGTCCTCCTGAATCCCCCTGCAGAGGAAACAAACAGTCTGTTTTAGGCATGGCCTTCAGTTATACTGGTAATGTGGAGCTGAAAATCTCCTCCTCCGCCGACTCACCTGACAGGTGTCTGCATTGTTTTTCCCGTTTGAACCGGCACAGATCATGCTGCTGGTGATAACAGGGTCGAGGTTGTAGTACTCAGCAGAGTTGCACTTCACTCTGTCGATCACGGTCACGTTGACAGACATCAGGACGTCAGACATCGTCTTGGCGACGTTGTTGGTTTTCCCCCATCCGGCCACCACGCAGGTGCTGCCAGCTGGTGGCGCTTTCACCGTCTTTCCCAGCTTGAGACATTTCACCGTCTTGGTTTCCTTCACCGGTTTGTCAAGCTGAAAATTAGAAAGAAGAAGAAGATTTTTTATCTGCCCTGTTCCTTGAGTTTTGTTTCTTTACATAAACTTCCTGCAGATGTTTTCAGGCTGTTAAATCCCTTTAAAGCTCATTGAACAGACTGATCAGTGTGACTGTGAGCATGTCGTCTTTGTGAGAACAAAGATGTCGAAGATACGCCCGAGATAGACAGAAACCACACGGTGCCTTGAAAGACCAGGTCTAAGGTCTACGCTGCACAGGAAACCGGTGACGACAGACCAGCACAGGAAAAACGTGGCCTCTCTGTCTGCTGTTAGGTAGAATTTAAGCTGCTGCATTTTGAGGAAATGATTTAACAAGCATTTCTATGGAGTAGTGAGAGTATAAATAA